TTTGATAAAAGTTAATGAAATTTATTTTTGAAAAGTCGTGGATATCACAAAAGATGTAATTAAAATTAATTATTAACTTAAACTTAAATTAAAATCTGAATTTTAATCCCTTTTTTTTGGGGAAATGATTTTTTAGAGAATATTTTGTTAAAAAATAAACCCATGTTTGACAACCATTTTTACAAAAACTCTTTCTTTCAAACTCATTTCAACCGCACATTCCCACGATAAAATATTTTGCACGTAAATAAAATTTTTTTTTCTACTTTTTAACCATGTATTCTCCTAAAAATCATTATTAAAATTATTGTTTTGGCCAAATAATTATCATCAAACAGGAGCTAAGAAATGTTTTTTGGTTTACACGTAGAATATTTTATCATGAGAAAAAGAACTTTCATAAAAATGGCTACAAGGTTTAGGGGCTGTTCTCTTTATATTTCTGTTTTTTGTTTGGAGTTATGAATTCATTTTGGGTTTTGTGTTTTGAGTTTCCATTTTGAGATTATTGAAAATGTGTTCATTTTGGCATTTTGAAAATTTGTTTTGAAAACACTCAAAACGCGTTTTGAAAAATTTGGCTTGAAAATGGTAAAGAGAACATACTATTAATCATTGAAATCAAAATTTTTTTTAAAAAAATATTGAAATATTTTTTTAAAAAATATGTGGTTAAAAAAAAGAAATTTTTTTGGATCTACTTATAATATTATTTTATTAAAGAATGTGTGAAAAAAAATGAGAGAAAAAATCATTTTGAACAAAATGGAGTGGACTGAATAAAAATTTCAATTTTGTTACAGATATAAAGTTTTGACATTATTCGTCATGTCAACACTTTGAGACATTAATTTAAACAATATTTATTCAAATTAATGGTACAATTTTTCGTATATCACAATTTAAACAATAATATCATTTAGGAATGTATTCTTTTGAAAACTTAAAAAGTGTCTTTGTCGTTATAAATGGACGCCATACAGGGAGAGAGTCCCGCGTTTTGGGGTGATGAAATGGCGGTGCTAAATTTAGGCCCTCATTTCTTCTCCACCTTTCACCATTTGCTCCCAACAACACCCTCCGTCATCTTCATCAGAAATTCCAATGATCTTTTGTATAGTATAGCTGCAGCTTTCATCATTTCACCATCATTTCTGAGGTTTTCTTCTGATGAATTATTATTAACATAATGTCGACCTTCAAACGTCATTATTACGTGTTCGCTCGAATTCCGCCGCTATGGGCTCTATTATATTGCCTTGTTCTCTGTTCGTTCACCGCCAATTTTGTCCAATCCAAAACCGACTCCTCAGATGGTACACTTCCTTTCTCCCTCTATCTCACTCTCCCTTTTATCTATTTGTTAAATGTAGGTATCTGAAAGCTCGCCTGAGTCCAACGTTAGAGATTACGTTGGTTGGATTTTACACGGTTTTGTCCTTTTATATTTCTTTGCTTAATGACATTCTGCAGAATATGCAAGCCAAGACTAGAAAACCATCTATTACTGAATAAAGCTTTCATATTATTGGTTGTTTCTTCAATAAAGTTGATAGAAAGTGCATTTGTGAAAAATACTCTAATCGGTCATCTGTTTTGTTATCTCATAAAAGGAACAAGTTGTGGCAACTATCGAGTTTGAAAAGCTTGTTTTCAAAATCTGAAACTAGTTTAAATACTAATAGGTAAAACTAAGCTACATCAGTTCTAGGAAATTAAAGTATGCATATAACTTTAAATGATTATCACTAATAATTTGTTAGTGAAGTTGCAATATTAATTTCTTTTTCTACATCATTATTTATTTATATATAGTCAAGAAGACTGAAATCACCTTGAACTCTGAGAACCAATTCAGTTAAAATTGATGAATTGGGATGTTTACGAAGACGTGTATCTTTAACTTTATAACTGGGTTTTCCAAGCGCCTAAGGATAATTCCTTGAGGTGCACCTCATGCGAGATAGTCATTAGGAGTTTCATACCTTTAGGACGACCAATGTGTGTGTACTCTCATCTGCCCTTCCCAGGATTTTTATTTTACTACCCTCTGTTTTTTTAGGCTGGTCTTTTCAATGCTTAGGACATTCTAAGGGTTTCTTTATGTTTGTTTTTAAACACAGTCTAACCCTAAATACTAGAAAGAAAAGGAGTAGAGATTAGGTAACAAGTGCACAACTCGTGTGTGCTTTAGCTCTCTACTCTACAACCAGGTGTGATACCCCATAGTGAATTGTGCACCTGTACGTGTAGCTTCACCCTTTCCTCTTTTTTTTTTTTTATATTTTTCTTCTTGTCTTTATGTTTTTGTTTTCTTTTTGCCGAGATTCGTTTCCTTTAAAAGCCAGTGCAGACCAAATTTTTGAACAACTCACCAATTGTTCTATTTATTTCAGTCTATTTAGTTTTACTTATAGATTAATGGTTTCTTATGTGATTGTTACTTTGTTAATATGTTACTTGCTACTTTGTCCATTCATTTTGTTGAAATATTTAATTATGGAAACACGCCTCTATTAACCTTTTTTAAATGTTTCACTGGTTTGGATTAGCAGGTTTTATTTCCAAAGCATAATCTGTCCATCCTGAAAGTTACCCGTTCAATTTCATAAAGAACTCAATGAACCTTAAGCTACATGTCACATATTACACTTTGCACCACCCACAAATGCTCTAACGAAGTAACAACATGAAAAAGAGAAACCAAATCTTTGTTGTGTCGTGTTATTTGATCCACATTCATATTATACATGTTTGTACCTATATGCTAGATATGTTAATAAGGATTGGGATTTAACATGCAACTACAGTTTGGCATTTGAATAATGTTTAAAGTACGTCATGCAAATGTACATTCTGGTTCTAGCTAGGTAAAATATTATTGGATATTTGGGCAATCTTGTTCTTGTGAGGCACATGTTAACATTGATGTGCGTCTTTTTAAAAGTCGTTTATCCTCTCTTCTTCTTGGTGCTAGTATAAAACCTAAGTTTTTGTTTATGTTGCCAACTTAAATGATTTAATTGAAATTTCAGAGTCAATGATGTCTCAAGGCCCTAAGCCCATTCAATGAGTACTTCATAAAATGTCATTGAGACTGTGTTTTTACCTTTACAATTTTGTCTTGTGTGGGAATAATGTGAGAGTAAGATGGAAATAGTTACCTTTTGAAGCAATACAAATTTTTTGGGAATCCAAAAAGTGAAGTGGTGCAATCATGGCAGGTCGGAAGGAGTTCTATAGAAGTTCTAATTTGCCTCGTTTCTATAATGTCCATGGATAAATTGGCATGCTATATTGCTCTGCTACTGCATCTTCAATTTATATCTTCTAGTGATCTTTTCAGTTTCTGCTCTCAACGTCATGTATGCCAGCATGAATTCTCCTTCCCAATTGGATGGCTGGAAATCAAGTGGAGGAGATCCTTGTGATCAATCATGGAAGGGAATCACATGCTCTGGATCAAAAGTTACCGAAATGTATAGCTTCTTTCTTTGGATGTCTGTGTTTATCTCTCATACATACATGTGTAAAACCTTTCCAAAGAAAGAAAAGAGGAGAAACATATTGCATGTATTGTATATTATATACAGAGCTGCCCCTTCAATCACGGACAAAGTTATTTGCTTAATTTAACTTTGCAAAATGTATGCAGTGATCTGTCTGGCCTGGGACTTTCTGGATCAATTGGCTATAAGCTTTCGGGATTGGAAACTGTTACCTACTTGTGAGGCTGCCAAGCTCTTAGACATGGGAAAATAGGGGTGATTTCTTCTGTTTTATGCTTTCTATTAATAGAGCTTGACCTGACAGGGATCAATTTGTTTGCCATAGTACAGTGATGTGAGCAAAAACAAGTTCAACGGAAATATACCCTATCAACTTCCTCCCAATTTGAAGCTCATGTAAGTAGGTAGAAAAGCATTGTCCATCTTCGGATTAAAAAGTACTGCTTCAGTATTATAACAACAGCGATGAATTGGTGTGTTTCCTGTTACGTTGCACATTAGTTTGTCCACAATGTCTCCTAGGTCCATTTTTGTAGTTTCTATGACATTTATAATAAATTGATTGTGTGCATTTTAATGTGATTTTTTGTGTGATATGTCCGTGAATGTGATTCAGCTATTTGTTTCTGTGTGTTATGTGCTACTTAATCATATGCTTATGGCCGATGTAAAAGCTGCATAGGATTTCACCATCCCTGCAGAGTTATGAATGACAATTTGAACATCTGTAGGGATCTTTCCGGAAATGAATTCAATGGCAACGTGCCCTATTCAATTGCCCAGATGACTGATCTCAAAGAGCTGTAAGAGATCCTTTTTTTGGTCTCAATCTAACCTTTTTATTTCGACAAATATTTATGGGCTTCTTAAATAGTTTGAGTTTTATCCTGATTCCACGTGTTATGCAGATATCTCAATAATAATCAGCTTAATGGACAACTGAGTGATATGTTTGGACAGCTTTCGAAGCTGACCAAGATGTAAGCATTTTGATCTTAACTGCCCATTTTCTGTTAGCATATTTCGAGTGTCAACTATTGTTTGCCACAATTGTATCTTTCCTGCCTTTGCCGACATTGAACAATGTTGGTAATGGTGCAGGATTACCCACGGAAATTTCGAGCTTTGATGCTTGTGATTTTCATTATTTCTTTGTATTAAAAACCATGTGAGATTAAAAGGGATTCGAAGTTTAAAATTCACCTATTTATGACAAACTTCGAATACTGGATTACTTGATGGGAAAGTGATATGTTGCAATTTTACCTTGAAGACCAGAAATTATGAGTCTAACAAGCCGTGTTGCACATGACAAAGAAGGCAATAAAATTTAATGTCAAAGATGTCATGGATGATGAATCACGAAGAAGTAATTAATGATGAGACACTCTAGTCTTCGAAATGGTACTCAAAAAGACACACACACACACACACACACACAAAATAAAAATAAATAAATAATAGAAACAGATCTCATTGGAATATCACAAACTGACGTTACGGTAAAGAATTCTCATTTTTTGGGTTCTTTTTTCACCTCTTTTATAGATTGCTCCTAAACATATACAAGGTGTTCCAGTATTGTTGTTTTCTAATGTATATGTGTCCCTTAATTTTAGTTGTCTTTCCATGATAATCACCATCCTCTGAATTTACAACTTTTTATTTATTTATTTATTTTTATAGGTAATCAGATAATTTTATTGATCAAAAGAGAATACGCAGGAAGTGTATTATCAATTTAAGCAAGACAGAAACATGAAATTAGGCTGCCCTTTTATAAGATTAGTAGTCGCAACATTAAACTAGGTATACAAAGTCAGATAAAACAGTTCTCTAATCTGCTCTGTCTTCGTGTTTGGTCTTCAAAATAGCGGTTGTTTCTTTCTCTCCACACACCATACAATGTATGCAGGGATAAGATCCTATACACGCTTGCAATCCTTATCACAAAGTTTTCTCCTCCAAGTCCGCAACACGTCATCTATGCGCCTAAGCAACACCTAATCCATATGTTGAGAAGCCAGAATGTTGTTCCATAGCCAACAAACACCATCACAATGAATGAACAAGTGATCATTTATCTCCCCACCCCTCTTACACACAACACCACTCGATTACATAAAAACCTTTTCTTCGAAAATTATCTAACATTAACACCTACACCTCATAGCTGTCCACAGTAAAAATGCCATCCGTGGAGGCAATTTACATTTCCACACCATCTTTCAGGGAAACGAACTCTCCACAGGTCCCAAAAGGGATCTAAAATAGGTGTGAACTGAAAAAAAATTATCTCGTACTAACCTTCACCTGCTAGATCACCCCTTCCTACCCAGATTTGCACCTCATGCAAGGAGATAAAAAATAATGCACAATCCTCCAAATCCCAATCTTGTAAACCCCTCCAAAAAATAATATTCCAACTGTAACTCCCACTGTGAATGACCAATAGATCATGCACCATAGCAGAAGGCACCAGAGCAATGCGATGCAATGAATGAAACCCCACCTTTAGCGGTTGATCGTCACTGCAACTGAAATAGGAAACAATGATACAAAAATAAGTAGGGAGATTGGAGAGAGTAGATTTAATGAGAGTAAGACGGCCTCCCTTTGAAAGGTATGTATGCTTCCACTTCACTAACCTCCTCTCCACCCATTCCACAATTTCATTCCATATATGTATTCTTTTAATCTGTGCCTTGAAGGGAGTCCTTATTATGACATAGATAATTGTGCAACCCTACAATCCAATATATTAGCCAACACCTCCATGTTAGCAACCTCTCCTACTGGAATAGCCTTAGATTTTCCCAGATTTATCTTCAATCCAGACACCGCTTCAAAGCATAGAAGGAAGTGGCGCAAGTTCCTGAATTGCTCATCATCTACATCACATAAAATCAGTGTGTCATTTGCAAATAACAAGTGGAACACCACAAGTGACCAACCGTAAAGCCTCTTATCAAACCCTCCCCTGCAACTTTCTTAAGCATCCTACTGAAAGCCTCCATTACAATAACAAACATCAATGGAGACAAAGGATTCCCTTGCCTCAAACCTCTGCTGCGAAAACAACCCTCAGGGGTACTGTTGACCAAAATTGAGAACGAAACAGTAGATACAAAACTGAATACACTTACACCACTTACCCCAAAGCCACATTGCTGGAGCATATACAAAAGGAACCCCCAGTTCACGTGATTATAAGCTTTCCAAATATCGAACTTATATAGTATCCCTAGAACCTATAAAGTATCGACACGGACACATGTGTCCAATATGACACGCGTCAGACACACCGACATGATTTTTAAAAAAAGTACTAATACCATATGTCGTCGACATGTGAATTAAATTCTTTAAGATTCTTTACTTATATAGTATAAATTTAGTTTTATACTTGTTATTAATTTTTTTTGTCGAAATCTTTTAAATATAAACACATAATTGTTATTTAATAATAATTTTGAGTGAAAAATATTATATATTTTGATAAAGAAAAAAATGATCATGAACAAAGTGTCCGAAGAGTATCGGTATCCGACACCTGTCGGACACGGATATGCTATCCTAGTTGAAGTGTCCGTGTTACTGAGCCTAGAACCCCAGGCACAATCTTGAGTCAATGCATTCATTCACTATAAGTACGGAATCCAAAATCTGGCATGCTTTCAATAAAGAATTCTGAAACTTAGACACCACTTTCCCATGCACCTCCTTTATTCTGTTTGCCCAAACCCCACTGACTAAGCAAATAGGACGAAAATCCTTAATATTATCGCTCCCAGTTTCTTAGGAATCAACACAATAAATGTGAAATTAGAATTTCTTAAGAACCCGCCACATTAAAAAAAATAAGAACATCCATAATGTCCTGTCACAACATCTTCAAACACGCATTACAAAATGAGAACGAGAAACTATTCATTCCTGGGGCCTTATCGTCATTAATACTAAACAACACCTCCTTAATTTCATCCTCCCCAAATGGTCTCTCTAACCAACCGGCATTCTCCTCTGTGATAGTAGAAAAATCCAATCCCTCCAACCATGGTATCCACTCAAACTGTTCTCGATAGAAATTTTAATCTCACCATTTAGGTCTCAATATCTTGTGGGTCCTCAGAAGTAATCTCATCTACCTCTAACATTGTTATATAATTGTTGCGCCTATTAGAATTAGTGACCCTTTGGAAAAAAACTTGGTGCATTAGTCTCCCTCTTTCAACTACGTGACCTTAGATTTCTGACTCCAAGCAATTTCCTCAATCTCCACCAACCTCTCCAACTCTGCCCTTAATACTCCACATCTCTCCTTCTCCTCCCCAACCAACCCTCGACTCTCATCCCTTTAATCCAACTCTTCTATGTCTGAAAGACACTGCATTTTACAACAGTTGACATTGCGACTAACACTGTGATATAATTGTTGCGCCTATTAGAATTAGAGACCCTTTGGAAAAAAACTTGGTGCATTTGTCTCCCTCTTTCAACTACGTGACCCTAAATTTCTGACGCCAAGCAATCTCCTCCATCTCCACCAACCTCTCCAGCTCTCTCCTTAATACTCAATATCTCTCATTCTCCTCCCCAACCAACCCTTGACTCTCATCCCATCTATCCATCTCTTCTATGTCTGAAAGACACTGCATTTTACAACAGTTGAAATTGCCACTAACACTGTGATATAATTGTTGTTCCTATTAGAATTAACGACCCTTTGGAAAAAACTTGGTGCATTTCTCCCCCTCTTTCAACTACGTGACCCTAAATTTCTGACGTCAAGCAATCTCTACCATCTCCACTAACCTCTCTAGCTCTTCCCTTAATACTCCACATCTCTCCTTCTCCTCCCCAACCAACCCTTGAATTTCATCCCTTCTATCTAACTCTTCTATGTTTGAAAGACACTGCATTTTACAACATTTGAAATTGCCACTAACACCGTGATATAATTGTTGCTCTTATTAGAATTAGCGACCCTTTGGAAAAAACTTGGTGCATTTGTCCCCCTCTTCCAACCATGTAACCCTAGATTTTTGACGCCACGCAATCTCCTCCATCTCCACCACTCTCTCCNCCTTCTCCTTCCCAACCAAACCTTGACTCTCATCTCTTCTATCCAACTCTTCTATGTCTGAAAGACACCGCATTTTACAATAGTTGACATTGCCCACCACCTCTTCATTCCACCTTTTTAAATCCCCTTTCAAAGTCTTCAACTTCTGATCTAACACATAACTGGGAGACTCCCTGAAATCATAAAAGGCCCACCAATTGTGTACTCGCTCCCCAAAACCTTCTACTTTTAACCACATCTTCTCAAACCTAAAAGATTTCTTCCACTGCCCCTCATATTCCCCGTTATCGAAATAAGGAAATGATTAGAGTACACGCTCCCTACTCTCCTCTAAGTGATATTTAAGTACTTAGCCTTCTACTCTCCACTAATCAAGAACTGGTCTATTCGAAATTGAGCATGTTGATCCCGATAATATGACCAAGTAAAATCTCCCCCAATCATAGAGAAATCCACCAATATATTCTCCCTGATAAAATTTGAGAAATCCTCCATAGCCCGTGTTAGTCTCCTAGTGGTGGGAGAGTGTTAGTCTCCCACCACTAAATCTCTCGGTAGGAAATTGAATTACATAAAAATCACCCCCCATACACGTTGGGAGATTCCACCAAGCCATCATACCAATCAACTTATCCCACAAGCCCCCTCTACTCTCATCGGCATTAGGCCCATAAACTCTTATAAACATCCATTCAAATCTATCCCTAATATTTCTAAACGAAAACGATATAGAGAATAACCCTACACTAATGATGTTCCAATCCCTTCTCTGCCTTTACTTGCTTTAACCTCACTGTTGTCTCCTGCTATACATTCTCATCACATACTGGAGCCTACAATCCTTTCCAATTTAATTACTTCAACCTTTTGTATTGTATCTCTCTAAAGTGTGCCCTCTTATTACCTTTTCACTCAAAAAAAGTACATCCTTTAGAGACCTTCTGCCATAAAATCAGAAAAGGAATCATGGACGGAATTAGGATTGATAGCTAGAGCGATCTTGAATTGGGGAATCATCTTATGTTTTGATGAATATGGGGCACGTATAATCCAATAGTCTTTCTAGCAGTTCATTTCATGGAACGATCTTATTTGAATTGAATGGAGAATTTGCATCATTTAGGAAAGATAGCATAACCGCTGTCTGAAGATAAAACATGTGGAGTAAAATTTGCAGGGGTCGAGATTTTCTTTAACGAAATGTCTATCACCTCCACCTGCTTTGTCCACTTGTGTCGAACTGGATTGCATGCTATAGTCATTCACAATAAACCATGATTTGACCATTGACTCTTTTCAAATGTAAGAGTATTATAATTTAGTTCAAGTATCTCTTGATCCATGGCAGTGACCTTTGCCTGTGCACTAAAGTGTGCCACAACTGGTTGTCTCTTGATCCTCCAAGTAGATAAATTTCCTCCTGAGAAGGAGTAATACCTAGAACTGTTGATAATCTGTATGTCATTGAGACTGCCCAACCTACCTAGAACTGTTGATTATCTTTGTAGGCTTCTAATTTCATAAAAAAAACCAGGTAAACAAATTTCATATGAGCTTTCTGTATGTCTATGCATTGGACTATATATATATCTTGATACTTTATTATATTCATTGACCAATTTTTGGAATTACATCCAGGGATCTCTCCTCCAATTCACTGTCGGGTGATTTGCCCCAGAGTTTTAAGAACCTCTCAACCCTGAGCACTCTGTAAGGCACTAGTGCATCTACTTTCCAGATTTGAGAGTTTAGTGGTGCTGATGGTTCTTTATGTCTTGAAGGTATTTGCAGAATAACAAATTCACTGGTTCAATTAATGTCCTCTCCAATCTGCCTCTCGATGATCTGTAAGTACGCACTAATTAGAGGGATATATGTTGCTCTAGCATATAGCGAATTTTCATACAACACATTTTACTCGTCTACTTTATGTGCTATTCAACAAGGTAGATTATATTGTTTCACATGGTTTATTAATTTCTGGACTTTGTACCGGATCGTGCCTTGGAAGCATCTTGATTCCCTTGATGTATATATTTCTCTAATCTTATGGCCTTAGAATCAGTTATAGTTTGAGATGGGGCAGTATTTAACTTTCTTTTTCGATCTTCTTATTCCTTTATGAAGTACCTATTTCATTGTTTCCCTTTCAATCTCATAGCATTAAGACCTGAAATGGCTTTTGTAGAGATATTGTGTCTTAGAAGAGCAAAAACACATTTTAACACAATCTCATCATACTGTTACTTGCTAGTCAACTCATTTGGAAAATTTGGGTACCATATAAATGGAGTTATATTTCCACATTAAAAGGGGAAACGTGGTCTATAAGGATTTGAAATACTACATCGTGTAGAAGAGTTTCTAAATTTAAGCATTCTCATTTTCTCCATTAAATGTGAAGGACTATTTTGTGAGCGTGTATATGTATATGTATATATGTATCTGTATGTGTGTTTATACACACGCACCCACACACACACACACACACACACACACACACACACCCCTACACCTACACCTGGAGATGTGCAGGTTAGTGATGGATGGATGCATGAAAAAAGATGTGCGTAACCATGAGACAACACCAGCCACAGGCCTCATGAAGCATGCTGGAGGAAACACTGACTCCATCAAGTCTGTTTGTTTATAGGTTAAAGAAAGAATGTACCAATTTCTTTCTAAGGTCTAAGCTTCGAAGATTGTACATGTGTGTCTCTTCCCCTCCCAATGTTTCATGCCCTTTTCCCTGATCAGATCTCTTGCTGGACAAACCATGATGTTCTCAAATTCTTTGATACCAATTTATTGGTTTCATAACCATGAATTTCTTTTTTGTTTTTAATTGTTTTTTCAACTAAAGGATGCATGTTAAAGGTTGGGCTAAACAGATGAAATAGTTTTCTATTTCTTGGGGGCCTTGAGGCTTAGATGGAGATTTTCCCTTTACTTTCATACAGAAAGAGATGAAGGCCTATAAATTGACTCTTAAGTTTAAATTACTCCTAATCATATAATTGTTGTATATCATCGACCTGGAATGAATTACATTTAGTTTTCAAGGATTTCCATAGCAGTTTGTCAGTATTCATGGAAGTGGATCATAAGGATCTCTAGCTGATAAATTCATAAATCAATTAATATCGACGCAGAAAGCATTTGGAATTCTTATGCTGAAAGATCAATGTGCATAAGCGGATTTAGTTGTTCAAATTTCTGGTCCATTTCTTCCATCAACGAGGGAACCATAATGCTACTTATCTAACCTCATGGATTTGGGAGAAGCATGTTTTATTTGATTTTTACGCAATGTCAATGGAATATTAATCATCAGCTGTTTGATGTATAATTGATTTTTTGCTCTCATGTTAAACTTCTTGAGACGAAGAACCTAATACAAGAATTTTACTTGCAGGAATGTAGCAAATAATAAATTTACTGGCTGGATTCCTAATGAATTGAAAAACATTGACAATATAAAGTGAGTATTCAGCTACAATTACAGTGTTTAATGGTTTTTATGTTCCTAACTTTGATCTTTTTTGGAAGGACTGGTGGAAATTCTTGGTCATCTGGTCCTGCACCTCCTCCTCCTCCAGGGACGAAAAGTGATACTCGAGCTAGCCAGTCGAATAAAGAGAATGAGAAGTCCGGTCTAAGTGGTGTTGCAATTGCTGGTATAGTCCTGGGTTTTCTGATTATCCTTGGGATTGTTATTAATCTATTCTCAAGGAGATCTACGCCACCTCCAACACATTATATTGAAGATAATATGCTTAGCCCTCGTAGGCCTTTCACCCCACTCTCATCTGGCGAGTTATCTAGCGATTTTCATGCTAAATCACACAAGGAGTTCAGAGGTAAACTTTACATTTGGTGTGACAATCTTTTTCCTTCTCCAATTAGAAAAAGGGAAGAATAAAATTAAGGGTAAAGAATCCAGCTGCAGCCCTCACGTCAAAGTCTGATAATATGCAAAGGCCTAATCATGTTATACAACAAGATGACTGGATTAACTCTGTGACTAGAATGATGTCAATTATGATCAATTCAGATTGAAACATAGATGCAATGGTACCAAGCTAATCTTGTATTACAATCTTTGAGAGGAATGGAAAAACTAAATATATAAGTCATGTGCAACATGTTAGAATTGAGGGGTTTGCTAAATTCAGGGAGGCTTACATGTTGGTCAAACATTAATTATGAATGGTCGTGGTCTTTCAGCAATTGATAATCCCTTATTAAATCTATTTATTAAGACGTCTTAAATGTCATATACTATTTAGTCATTTTTTGCCAAAAGGATTTGAATCCCAAAATGCTGCTTACCTTAACTTAATTGTCTGTGAAAAATCTGCTGGAGTTCGTCACATGACTGTGTGGTGCAGTAAATAGTCCTCAGTTTTATTCGCTAGAATAACTTGGCATCAGTATGCAATTGTATTTACAAATTTAGTGTTTCAAGTAAGTCCAAGATCGGGATTTGGTGTTGAATTCTGAATAACTCATGCCTGAGAAGTTTATCCTTAGGATACATGCTTCAAAATAGTTCTAGTTGACTTAATCCTTGTGCACTAGACTGTTTTAATGTAGCTAATTGCAGCATCAAACCTGCACAAAATTTTGAGTAATGCAGAAGGTCCTTGAATAAACTAGCTTGTGTTATTCATGAAGTGCATATTTTTTCTGGCAAGTTTCCTTTTTGGTGACTCCATTCCTGAAAAAAGTGCAGATGCTGTCATCCAGAAAACTTTCCAGACATTATCACCCAGGCATAGACTCCTACTAAAAGAAAATAATGGAATTGGCTTCAGCAATATAATAATGCTATACTTCCCAAAATAATTTTGCAGTACTATGCTTTGGGTGTAGCTTATATCCATATCACTGTAAATAATTTTGTCTTTAGTGTTGATCAATATATACTAAATTGCTACTGAAACATTTTCTGCTGGTGACAGAACTGAAATCATTCAAATCATCTTCCTCAAATAGAGTAAAAGGTTTACAGGCTTCTCCTTCAATCAGTCTCAAGCTTCCATCTTCAACTTGTCTCCAATCATTCAACAACAATGAATTTGCAAATAATTTGGATGTAAAAACGAGCAGTTCAGTCGCCATTGCCTCTTACTCTTTGGCTGATTTGCAGACTGCCACTGGTAACTTTGCCACAGGTTGCCTTCTGGGCGAGGGATCTATGGGTCGTGTGTATAGGGCACAGTATGCTGATGGGAGGGTAAGCAACACCTTTCTAAGTGCACATAAATTACAGTATATTTTTTCTCGTGTACCGTCTTGTTATTTTTTTGATTCCTGTGTGTCCTATGAAGAATGAACATTTCACACAGTGCTATGTTTATAACGAGGAGGGGGCTGTGGGTGGGGAAGAGGGAGAGTTATCTAAGGTTGAGAAAATTGCATCAACGAATGACACAGTATTGTATTTCTTTGTTTTTATTGTCAATTTAAATGCTTGTAACACATTGTGTAGTCATTGTCATCTGAAGTTGAAGTATGAGTTTTAGTGTTACCAGTGCCATGCCTTTATTAATAGGTTAATACCATCCTGTTGGTTCCATAGATCCAGTTTCAATCTAAAACAAGGGCTGAAAGCCTATTTTACTTGTCGTTTGAAATGGATTCAACAGTCAAACAAGAAGTTTGGTGCTTAATATGTTTCAACATTTGTCAACTTATCAATCTCATCTGGAGCTTGTCTTGATTCACAAATAATAATAAATTACGTAGAAGATATAAGCCACTTGAGCTTGGTTTAATAGAAGATTTTTGAGCTTGACTCGTTAAGAAATTCAGTCAAGCTTGAAGAGAATTTGTTGCTTCTAAAGATATGCACAATAGAAGTCAGCTACAATTAGACCCCGAGGAGGTGTAAATTGATATTTATGTTTTCTGAAGTCTTCAGTTTTTATCTATAATATATCATATCAACAGTTACATCTCTGTTTCTTGTTTTGGCAGGTTCTTGCAGTGAAGAAGATAGACTCCTCACTTTTTCATGGGGAACGAGGGGAAGGATTTGCAGATATTGTTTCAAACATCTCTAAGATTTGCCACCCTAATGTTACTGAACTTATTGGTTATTGTAAAGAACAGGGACAGAACATGTTAGTTTATGAGTATTTTAGAAATGGCTCGCTTCATGAATTTCTGCATCTGTCAGATGACTTCAGCAAACCACTTACATGGAACACAAGAGTCAGAATTGCCCTGGGAACAGCCCATGCTGTTGAGTAAGTCGCATTTACACTATTCTTTCTGCAGCAATTTACTTGCATTCCATTCTTTTCGTACCACATGGTACTGTGTGTCAAAGTATCTAGTTTTCCTTATTTTGCCTTTTTATTTGTGGATTTTAGTGAATAGAATGCTAAGCCCCTGTTTGGTGTACATTTTTATTCCAAGAATGCATTTTGTTTTTTGATATGATAGGGAATATGTGGTTGAAAGAGAAGGAAAAAGTTATTGATGTGATATAAAATATTATTTTATTGAAAAATGTGTGGTTGAAAATGAGTAGAAGAATGAGAATGAAAAAAATAATATGGCTCAAACATGGGCTAAGAAATACAACTTGATTTTTTGTTCAAGGAAAACGTGAGATAAATAGTTGTCAAGCATAAGCAAAACAGATCAAATAATTTTGGATATGCTGTTATTTTTGGTGAGATGAAAATCATGGAAATCAGTCTGTACCCTATTTTTGTTTCATTTTCCTGACTAAAATTGAAGATCCAAATGGAGCCTAAATGTTGGTGTCATTACAAGTTGCATCAATGCAAATCTCAATGGTTACACACAATTCAAAAAATATGTTGACATCTGTTAGATTTGGAGGTTTTCACCTTTCTTTACTGTTATTCTTTTTCTTGTGAAGAGGTTATTGCCGATGCACATTGAAATTATGATTTTCTGGTGCAATTTCTTGGGCAGTGTCAGTCTTATTTTTGGTCAAGGTGCACTGGCTGTGAATTTCTCTGGATAAAATTCATTGGTAGTGATCTTAGAGTGAGTTGGGTAGGTCCTATGAAGCCATATCCTGACAGAAAATTCATTATAAATCTACCTCACAATCCAGTTCAACGTGAATGAACTAAGCACGTTAAAGTTGATCATCATTTCATCAAGGATAAATTGGATTGTGAACTGGTATGCAAGAATGTCGTATATTTACAATTTTACACAGTATAGCCGGTCATCATACTGAAAGGGACTTGCAGATTGATCATTCAAATTATCTCAGGCAAATGGGGAATTGAAAAACTTACTCAATCTTGGGGAAGTGTTTCCTTTTCATACCTATGATCAATTATTGTAATTCTAGGCGTAGAATAGATATTTTCTTCTCGTTTTCACCTGTAAGCACTATAAATAGGCTGTGAATCACTTTGTATGTACACAAGCATTATTCAGAAATCATTCTCTGCTCTCAACATCATTATTTGTGTGACTAACCTACTTCTTTGACTACTTTGTGCATCCGTGGATACTCAAATCGAACTGCTTCTCTTTCATTACTTTAACTTCAATAATATATTGCGCCTATTAGTTTCAGTAGCTCATGCTTTAGTATATCTCATTTGCCGCATTTCTTTTCGATCTTCCAACCATTTTTATATATTTAGGTACCTGCATGATGTTTGCTCACCATCATGTGTGCACAAGAACATAAAATCTTCCAATATTTTGCTCAACGCTGAACTGAATCCTCGTCTCTCCGATTGCGGCTTGGCTACATTTTTTGAGGTATGTATAATATGGTTTTCTAGATTTTAATGCTTCTATCGCCATTTCTTCAATTTTCATCTCTATTGTCATTGATTTAGTTATTTTCTTGGAAAGCAATAGCGTTGTTTAATGTTATCTAAAGGTTGCCAAAATTTTGATATTAGATTCCAGGTTCAGAGGATTTGAATATACTCAATAAATTTGTTTGGTTTTGTGTGCAGAAGATTAGTATAGACTTTGTGATCTTGATCCATTTTTTTATTTTCTTGAACATCACACGCAAGGCAACTTTAGTTTTAGCGGCACAAAAAATGGAAAGGCACTTGTTAGACTGGAAACATTCTGAGTTTGTGGCTGGCTACTACTTTTTCTGCTTCCATACGATAATTTATGTTAGACTGTGAAGAGGATGCCTGATGTCACTCCCATTTCTCTGTCTGTCTCTTCCGACTCAACGAAAATACAGAACCAAAATTGATCGCAGTGAAATAAATGAAACTTGAAAAGCAAAATAAATATTTTAAGAATGACTAGAATATGAGCATGTTTGACTTGGCTTATTTCTAAAAAGGAAGCAAATGCAAATTTTTTTATTCTTTCTTGCTTTTCTTCACAGTAGTACATATATAGCTACTCTCAAGGAGAGCGAGAAAGAAATAAGCTAAGCCAATGTGCTTATAACTGTTTTCAAATTAAAAAGCACTTAATTTCTTTCCGGGCTTGCCATGGACCCCTACCCATTTATTAATGGTAAAATTAAATCACGGCACTTAGGAAGGGGATGCAGAACATTACCTCTATTGTTACGTAACTTTCTAAAGAAAACCTAAGGAAATATTATGTCAGGCTTCGGGAGACATGCTCATAGTAATCATGGTTAGCTTTATCTTCTTCGTGGACAATTTAAAATTATCATATATTTTTGAATTCGAGTTGGATCAACTTTGAAGTCTTCATCAGTAGTTTATCTTCTGAAGTTTGTTGGTTGATGTACTTATAAACCAACTTATCAAAATTAAAAGTCTCATCTTGCGTCAAAATCATGTTCAACTAACTTATTTCATCCACGAACACAAGGAAAATACAACATTATCTTCCATAGTCTCCTCACCTTAAAAAACTGATAATTTGACACACTTAACACCTAAGGGGTGATTGTGTGTTATATGCGGAATTTAAAATCAACAAATATAATCTATAATAGTCACAAATTATCTGGTGTAGATTATAGGTTTAGATACAACATAAATGAATTATTAGAAACCTAATCAATAAAGCAAGTAAAATAACATGCTCAAAAGTATATAATACCAAGTATTGTTAATGAAGGAAAAACCCTTAAAAGAATTCTTCAAGAGGAAAAAACTTCAGACATACGGTGCCACCAAACGATCCACTATGAAAAGATGTTAACTTACAAATGTGATCCAGGTACAACTAAAACTTAGTTGACTTTCAATTTATAACTCCTCGGATGTGTACCCGCATGGTTCTCCAACAACAAACTTGTTCTTAGTCAACTGGAATTCGAGTTATCTTTCACCTCTATCATAACCCAAAAATCTGTATAGTAGAGGATTTTAATTTGTTTTTCTTTTGTGAATGTGGAAGAGAAATAAAAAGCAAGATTTTTCAAAAACCTAATTGATCTCTAGGTTTTTCTTTCTCCAACACACTGAAAAACGACCATCAATCTTGTATATAAACTGCATTTTGCTGTTTTAGGTGGTTTGTGTTAGAAATATTGTTCAAAATTGATAAAAAATGGATGTCGAATGAAAATCATTCTTGGAGGCCAAATTTTGGCCTATGCGATCGCATAGGCCAAACTTGGATGCGGTCGCATAGGCCAAGGCAAGGATTAATCCCTGTCGTGAAGATAACTATGTGGTCGCGTAGTGTTGAACTATGCGACCGCATAGAAGGTCAATATGGTCGTTAGTGACCGTTTTGTTCAAACTTTTTGTGGCTTTTGGAGAGTTTTTGGCACCACTTCGTATAGTAATGTTTCATTTCTATATGTAGGTGGTTTGTGATCATTAAATTATTATTGAAAACGTACAAAAACCATAGCCATATTCAAGAACAAAAAGATCATTTCAAAAGAAAAATAATTCACAATTTCTTCATCATATTCAAACCTTTCTTTATTGTTCTTCAAGTTTTGGGGATTACACTTTATGCTTGAGTGTTTAATCCTTCAAACCATTTTCTGGAAAACCTTCAAGCATCATTTTCAATCTGTGAGGGGGCAAATTTAGTTTGAGGACAGCGATCACACGTTCGGGTCTTCGGTGTTCATTTTATCAAGTTTGATCCTGGTTTTGTTCGTGTTTGTTGATCTTGTTGCTGCAATATTTTGGTGTGTTTCTTCTCCAACTCCGGTGCTTCTCCAACAGTTTGAGCATGTTTAAAAGTTTAAATAGGCTAAACTAGGGTTTCCCTCCATCATAAATCGCTCAAGCACTCCTTTGACATGGGGCAATGGTCAGGCAAAATTGCCTCCGCTCGAGCTTCTTCTTGGGCAGTCTACGAGCGGGCTCTCTCTGTTAATTGCACTCAAACTCCTTTCTTTGCGGTGTATGAGCAATCTCTCTCTGTTAATGAGGCTCGAGAGTGACCTTAAGCTGTAGACATATGGTTTTAATATTTCAGTGTTTTTCCCGCCATACTTCTCCGATCTTTTGACACCCTTCAAGCTTAACCCATTTATTACAACTGAATTGAATGATTTTAGACTCGGAACTTATCAAGATTTACTTGGACCTAACACGTTCCATGAAGACCTTTGGCTCAAAATCACTCGGAATATTTTTGTCTATAGGGTTTAGAGCCTTTCATCCTCAACAACTTTCAGGAGACATCATGGATCTTATGATGGAGTCGGTGTGCTCCTATACAATTTTGCATTTCATATTAAAGTCAAACTCGTGTAGTCCCAATCTGGATAACATAATCCTTAGATGTTGTCGAATCACTAGTGCACTTTTCCTTCATACATCGACTTCCTGAACATCTCTTTTCACTTCCTATCAATGGACTCATTGAAGTAGAAAGTAACACAGAGAGAGAAACAGGGAAGAGGAGAGAAATAGAAAATGAGAGATGGGAGGAAATATAGAAGAATTTGAGGCAAGAAGATATCAATTTTCAACCATTATCAAAATCTATATATAAAAATCTAATTTTTAAAATTCATTCAATAATGATATGTCATATGTTCTAGTTGGTTAATTTGAATAATCCAGTGAAAAAAATCTAATGAGATAATTAAGGAAACAAAATCTTGAAATTACAAAAATTAACAATAATTTCTAAATTTTGGGTAAATAATAAATCTGTCAGTTGACCCCTAAATGATGAAATTTGCCCTAAATCACGAGTCACGAAAGGTCTGACTCTGTTGACCAGAAACAGGACTGTTTACCAAACTTGGCTAAGTGTGCATTGGGCCTCATTATGATCCTTAAAGACCATGCGTTCCTACTCCTTGTGAGTTGCATCAGTAAATCTCTCGTTGCATATTGAAATAATCGAAAAGGTATATTAGATAAAATTAACCAAGAAAGTATGATAACAAGCAATTGATGTTATGCTTATAGAATCTATCCTTTAGGTTGCCCTTATCTCAGAGTGACTTTTCTCCTTTCTTACCCGAGTTTGATATTGTTCTGCAGAGGATGAACCAAAACCTTGGAACTGGACATAATGCACCAGAATGTACAAAACCCTCTGCTTACACTGTAAAAAGTGATGTATACAGCTTTGGGGTGGTAATGCTAGAGTTGCTGACGGGCCGATTGCCTTTCGATAGGTGTGTTGGATTTAAAATTTCAATATTGGTTACCGGGAGGTTCACTAGTCCTTGTTTCTGAAACAGTTTACTTGCTTCTTTCATTCATAGTTCAAAACCAAGATATGAACAATCTCTTGTTCGGTGGGCCTCACCACAGCTCCATGATATAGATGCCTTGGCAAAACTAGTCGATCCTGCATTGCATGGGTTGTACCCTCCTAAGTCTCTTTCTCAATTTGCCGATGCGGTTGCTCTTTGTGTACAGGTGAGAAGCTACACCTTTTTCAATTTTTTTACACCTTTCAGATGGTTTTCCAATTGGCATATGCAGTCTCTTTTCACAGATATCTCTTATGTTTGATCAAACACCTTATCAACCTTTTTTTCTTTTGGATGATTTGCATTAGTCTGAGCCAGAATTTCGGCCACCAATGTCCGAAGTGGTGCAGATATTAGAGCGGTTAGTTCAACGATCGGGTATCAACCATAGAGGAGATGGTCTTAGTGCGTCTCAACGAACGGATGATTCTGACTACTAAAATTGTTTCCTGGAATATGATTAAGTAGATAGATATCTACATAGAGGAATGTTCATTTTGGCATTTGGTGCATATTTGTTAGCATAACTTAAGACTTTCAAAAATTCAAAAATAGCATCAGCAATTTCCAATATTTTTAAATGTTTGATGTATATTCGGAAGCATTAAAATTCTGTGTTGGATGTATATGGGCAACTGTGCTGTTCAGATATTAGGTATATTTGCACCATTTAATGTATGACAAATTTTTGTTGAAGGGTTTTAGATAGAGAAACTTGGTTTTCTTAAATAACCTTTGGACCGGATCGTCCTTTCAGAGCGATGAAAAGCTATTTTTGGAGCGAATTCCTATTAACTCTACATATTTGTATATTGAACATGTTTGTATTTGTTGGGAGAATATTGAAAAAATGTTCTCCATATATAAAAGATAATATATAGGGCTTGTTTGGAGGAAATTAAAAGCAGAATTCTGATCGTTAGTGGGTCCCACGGTTGCCTAAAATGTGTGAAGGAAGTCAACAATGGAGATTACTAACGGTTCAATAATTGCTTAAAATTTGGATTAAAATTGCCACCAGACAAGTACACAATATTAGGACATGCCGTTTAAATTAACAATTAAACTTGAAATAAAAATAGACTTGTAGTTACTTAAAACTAATCAAAATAATAACTTCACCCAAATAAAATTCAAAATGTTTCTTCAATATTCTGAAAAATTGTTTTTTGAGGATAGAATGGACTTTTGTCTTTATCACGAAACTTCTACACAAATATTAAGCAGAATTTGGACATAAAGTACGCATATTTGTAGAATTTTGAAGGGAGTGGAATGATTTTTTTTAAAAAAATTTTTGGAAATCATAGTAGAATGAATTTTAATTGTCTAAAAATAGTTTACGGAATGCCATATTGGATTGACTATTCATCCAAAAGTCATAACCTTTCATTAGTTTCATATATGTTACGACTTTTGTATGAAAATGAAAAAAATTAGTGAATGAAAAGTTACAAAAAATGAAATGGTGCAACAATTACAAAAAGATCACAACTTTTGAGTAATGTTATCATTGATGTCACAACATTAGTTTAGATAGCACTAAGTGTCATAAAATGAATTACATTATTTTACCTTTAATTGAACTTATCAAGTAATGTCTCATAAACTCGTGTTCTAACATCAATGATAGATAACATTATTCGTCTTCTAAGTCAAAAGACAACTATCCGTAGCTACCACGCCTAACAAAGTGCCGCATCGAAACATCCTTGACATTATGAAATTTGCTCGGAAGGGATAAGATAATATTCCGGTCAAAGGGGCAAAAATCTATCAAAAATAAAGTTTCATCTCCGATCCCTTTCAAGTCCATCAAAACCACAACACTCAGTAAAGGTAACTGATATAGGATGGTATTAACGATTTTCCTAGAAGACCGCTACTCAATGCACCCCCCCCCCCCC